TTAAAAAAAATGATAATCTTGATGTAATTTTAAAAAATCGATTTTTTCAAACAAACTTAAATATTAAACTGTTTCATTTAAATTTTATCTTAATTCAAGGTTGTAATTACTTTTACTAATATGACCTTTAAAATTATTACGCTGTTTTAGAGTAATTAATTTTTAATAATTTTATTAAATTAATATACTTATTTAAATTATTTAAATTAAACACTTATTTAAATTAAACACCACTCATTTATGTTCTTTAACTAAAATTTAGCAATCTTCCCAATTAAATATAAAATCAAATTATTATCCTTAATTAGAAAATAATTCTTTATATAAAATTTTATAGGATCTTCTCGTTTTATAATATCATTTAAATATTTTTTTTTTTAAATTGATTTTACCATTATTTTCCCCTTCAAACCATACATACAACTTTTGTCTGAAATATTTCTGTCAGGTTCAGTTTTCGAAAAGTTCTGATGTTTTGTTTTAAATGCTCTATTCTATACATATATTAATTACTAATTTTGTTTATCGTTAGAACTAAAATAAATAAACCTTTTTTTACATAATTTTATTAATTTCATACGTTCTTTATAGTGCATAATATAGCTACAATGTCTTTAGAGAATCTATTCATACGTTAAAAAATGTGTCGTACCTGTCACATCAAATTAAAGACAATTAATTACGATTAACAAATTAATCGCAAAGAAACTATTTTTATAATACAAACATCAACAGTCTCATTTTTTCAATTAATATAACGCAAATTAGTATAAGCTTTACTTTACGTTATATTTTAACAAAAATTTTAAAGATACACAAATGCCACTTGAATAAACAAATGTTTACGATATTCATTCGACATCTATTAATCATCATTATCATTATCATTATGAATTATTATCTACTTATCAAGTACGCGAAACGACTACCGCGAAAGTTACCTTGAGATTATCGAGTCTTAAAGTTAATTCATTAAATAAACTCATAAATTAAATTTTTTAGCTCAGGAATCTTTAAATCAGACAATGAAATTCTCGTATAGGTAAAAGAATTTATCTCGATCACGTCTCAAAATAACATCAGCAATTTTTATATCATATTCTACACCGTATTTATGTCGCAAGGATTGAGATTTTGGATAGCAAGGAGATTGGAAAACTAAAAAATTACACGTCATTATTTGACATTTAATTTTGCATAGTTTTCTTTGAAATATTTTTTTTCATAAAGCTGTTTGAGAAAAGAATTAAACTTTTTTGGAGATGTATTTATAATTATATTTCAATTGAATGTTTCATAATAAGAAAAGGAGATCGATAATGTTCGCCGAATGGTCCTTTTATCACTGTCTTCTTAACTATAATAATGTAAATCGTAAATGCATACCTGCGAACATTGATGCTATCGCAGCGATAGCGAATGAAATGGTCACAGCAGGACCAGCATGGTCTTTCGCGACGGATCCCGCCAAGACGTATACACCTACTCCTAAAGTAGAGCCAATTCCTAAAGCTGTGAGATCGAGAGTCGACAAAACTCTCGCCAATGTACTTTCTTGAGTGCTGTCCACTACTTTTTTGCGACTAAATGCCTTGTACAATCCACGTAATTTCCACTTCATTTTATGCAACTAAAAAGGAATTTTTTTCTTAGAGGAAGGAACTTTTTTCTTAGAGGAAATGGTTAAAGAAATTTCCCGCTTATAAGTAGAACATTTTTTTGGGTGAACAAATTAAAAAATTCCCAAAATTTTTCTACTAACAAATATTTTCGATATATATATATACATAGGAATATATATATATATATATCGAAAATATTTGTTAGTAGAAAAATTTTGGGAATTTTTTAATTTGTTCACCCAAAAAAATGTTCTACTTATAAGCGGGAAATTTCTTTAACCATTTCCTCTAAGAAAAAAGTTTTACATGAAGCATATTCCTCAGTTATAACATATTTATCTATAAAGACGTGGACCATGCGCTATAATCAATTCTCATAGTAATTCGACATTCTTCTACATTTTAGAATATCTTTCGAAACGTTTATTTAATATTGAAAGGAAAATCTTTTAGCATCAAGAGGGTACCATTAAAAGGATAACATATTTTTTTGGGTGTTTTATAATTTTTTTTTTAGTAAACTCTCAAAATTAAAAAAAAAAGCAAAATTAAAATTATTTTGTATCGACACGATAGTTTATCAAATATTTTTTAAATAAAACTTAAATTAATTCCATAAATAAAAAGAGAATTATTCTTCTCACAATTTATTTATATCGCCTGAATATGTCTTCCTGCTTAGCACCGATGTTTCTAATACGAATGTATTGAATATACAAATGTACCTAAGTATACAATTTGCGAAATAATGGACGACTTACCACAATAAGTTTTGTCAAAGCAAAATCCATTTTTTTTGTGCGAGAAAGTATAAAAACGTTAAAAATAAATTCTACAAACTGTCCGCGCACGAACAGTCAGCTCACGACTAAGGAGACTTAATTAAAATGCCTTAATATAAATCATGTGATGACATGCGGCATGGCGCTTCTTCTTCGACGAGTCTTCTCATTTAATTGGCCGAATTGTCTCCCCGACTAGTAGAAAGGCGTTTCCACAAGTAAACCTCTATCTATATTTATTACAGTTAACCATCGACACTTCAATGTGAATGCGAACATTGCCACATTATCTCTTTGTTGTTTTAAACGGTTCCAAGAAGAGAATTAAACGTTTTCTAATTCCGATTGGATTTATTTGTATATTTAATTTTTGATCGGTATTTAGATTTTATCAAATTTCGTTTTTATCGTTTCATACAATCGTACTCTTAAGACCTCCTGGATTTTAATTTAAAAAAATAGCCAATCTCATGTTATCATTACGCGTAATTTAAGTAAATATTTTTAGTAGCAGAACTAAACAAAGTATATATCTAATTATCTATTAATCGATCGTTTCGTTATAGCAGAAGCACCACGCTGTCGCAATATAGGATAGCAAGCCGTAAGTGTGCATTTAAAAAAGGAGAATAACAGATAAATTAGCATTATTGCTATGCATTCATGATAAATAATTCTTACTTTGCTAGTCAGAGTATTCATGCGATATACCGATTGTACATGACAAAATAATATCAGGAGACATGGTAGTGTCTTATTTTTAAAATAATTTTTAAAAATATGTCTTAATTATTGACAATATTAATAATTTATTTTATGTTAAATTTACTTTATTTACAAGGAGCAGGCGAGTATCTCGATTTTGTTTTGTTTTTACCTATGTCTTTTATTATTTTTTTATATTTTTGTTTTTATACCTTTTTACATGTTTTTAGAAAAATTTTTCTTATTTTTTTTATAGCTATGTCATTTCTCGCGCCTTACTTATATTTATTTTTTTACTTTTATTTTATATTCTTTACAAAAATGATATCAACTTTATGATTGCTATGTTATTACATAATGTACAATCAGCTTTACAATTTTTAAACCAATTATTTACAGAATTATCAAACTTATGTAGTTTCTTGGCCTTGTAAATATCCACTTTTGAACCATGAATACTTAATCAAAATAAACCGATCGACGAGAAGATAGCTGATTATGAATAAGCGATGGAAGTTTAATGTTGCTTCATAAATATGCACCACCATAATTGTACAAACTATGTCTGAAAAATGTTTGATAAAATTTTTTTCAAATTCTGAAGCCGAAAACATCGAGAGGTTAAATCCAGATGTTCCTGCAGGAATTGTTAAAATTTTAATATTTTTCCATTATATTTATCCATCGTTTTAAACATTCTCAAATTTTGGTCATTCCTCTCGATATCTTCGGCTTCAGAATTTCAAAAAATTTCACCATTTTTCAGATATAATTATTTTGTATAATTACGATGTAAACTTACATTTATGAAACAACATTGAACTTCATTCACTTATTTATAATGAGCTACTTTCTCCTCGGTTTATAAATTTGTTTAAGTATTCGTGGTAGTAAAGTAAAATATTTACTATAAAGAAAATTGCACAAGTTTGATAATTATGTAGATAACTGTTTTAAAAATTGTAAGGCTATTTATACATACTCATGCGTAACACAGCAAACATAAAATGTGCTTAGTGTTTAGCAGAAAAGTGTTTTTAAGTATAAAGACATTTTTTGTTAAGCTTATTTTTGTAAAAAATATAAAATAAAATTAAGAAATTGACATAAGCAAGGTACTAGAAGTAACATAGTTATAAAAAAAAATAAGAAAAATGTTTGTAAAAACATGTAAAAAGGTATAAAAACAGTTAAAAATATAAAATAATAATAAAAGATAAAAATAAAAAAACAAAATGGGCATTCAGCACCTCTTCTTCGATTATTCCTGGTTTCAGCAAAAAGCAAGAAAATTTTTGAATTTATCAGATCGCCATACTGGAGCCGCTAATTTTTATTCTATAATTGTTTTTTACATAGAATTTGATTTGCAACAATATGCAAATTTAACATTTTTTTTACAAAACAACTATGTATTTCCTTTACACAAATCTTTCGTCTTATTATTAAAAGTATTAATGTATAATTATCAAGAAATCAATAGTTTATGAGATATTTCATATTTTATGTTAAAATATGGCATGAAATAAAGTATTAAATATCTCGTAAACTATTGATTTATCGATAATTTTACCTTAATACTATTATATGCAAATAATTGGAGAAATCATACTGTTTAAAAAAAATTATATCATTTCTTTTAAAAAAGTGAAGGTGATCTTTATATATGTATATTTATTAGATCTACCACTTAGAAAGAAAGCAACTTTTTTATTTTTCACAATTAGTAATTAGAAAAGGCAATCAGAGTCAAAACGCGGTAATTG